CAAGCCAGCCGAAAACCCCACCACAAGCACCCAGCCTGGGAGACAAACAAGTGAAAAGAAGCGGGAGACAAATGAAAAGAAGTGGGAGACAAATGCAAGGAAGTGGGAGACAAGCCAGCCGAAAACCCCACCACAACCATTCAGCCTGGGAGACAAATGAAAAGAACTGGGAGACAAATGAAAAGAAGTGGGAGACAAATGAAAGGAAGTGGGAGACAAGCCAGCCGGGAACCCGACCACAAGCACCCAGCCTGGGAGACAAATGAAAAGAACTGGGAGACAAGTGAAAAGAAGTGGGAGACAAATGAAAGGAAGCCTGGGAGACAAATGAAAAGCACTGGGAGACAAATGAAGGAAGTGGGAGACAAGCCGGCCGGGAACCCGACCAGACCATCCAGCACCAAGGCGACCATTCTTTAAAGCATTGAGAACCCCTAACAGTATACTGTTTGGGGAATAAAATCTAGTATAGTGTACGCAATCTATTAAGCAATCTAACGAAAAAAAAGTGTTTGCCTTTGAGACATGGCTTGGCTTCAAGGAGCCCAAGCGGCTCAGCTCCGCGTGTCGTCTCAGCACTGCAGAGCAGATCCGTCGAGAGGCCCCGCTTTCGGAAATGAACCGAAGAAATCGTTTGCGTACTTTACTAGTAGCTTTTTGTTCCTAGTAGCGATGGCCTCCAACCTAACAGCAATGGCCTCCACCTAGCAGCTTTTGTTTGAGAGGCGGTGGAAGAAGGGCAGCCACTTGAAGATCATCTGGATTTGTTCAATCCAAGAACCTCTTGATAGGAGAGCTGCTATCATTTACCATCATTCCCTCAAATTCGGACCGTTGCTTACAGCTACCCAGAAGCAATCTTAGAGCAATTCTGGCGAAAGATGCAAACCAAACCACGGGTGGAACCTGTAAGCAGGTACTTCTTGACCTACAAAGTGGATGATGTTTCCCAGGTTCTTGTTAGCTACTTGTGGGAAGCATGAATTTTGCGCTAGGGCCTCCCAAAGACGCAGCGGGTGTGAAATAGTTCTTTTGAATGTTCAACTATTTAATTCTGTCCATGGCACAAGAGCGAGAAAGTGTTGCTTTGACGGTTTGACCATGGGCACTGTGTGGCCACTCCTAGATATTCATCAACGGCCCTGTGGTGGCCCCCATTGTGCTTTGGAATGACTTCTTGATCTACAGGCGGGAATCCGTGATGCTTGGGATTGAGGTCTGCTCAATCCTGTTTACCTGTCTTCTTTATTGTCGTGTGTTCCGTTGTTTCGCATCGCTCTTAAACACACAGAGCATGCGCCACACATTCACGCTTCCACTCACCAAAGTGTGGAAAGACTGCTTTCCAAGACCTCTAAGCACCAGTTCTCATGTACTACATGTGCCATCCCATCTTCTGAACCCTTAGGTTTTTGATTGAGCAGATGTTTCTTGCATGTTATGGATGATAGCTTTCAATAGCAGGAATCACAGCTTTGGTCACCTCGTACAGGTCTGGAATCTATCAGGTGGGGCTGGGTGTCCTTCACGAAGCAGTCGCAGCTTTCCTTCAAAAGGGAAGTGACCCGGACAACGCGTCCCATGTGTCAGGAGACTCGCACAGCGACTCCATTGGTCGCACCTTGGAACTGAAAACAATCAGATTGGCAGTTTGTTTTGTAGACCTTGCTCTGGTTTGGTAGGCTTCAGATTGGCTTTGTTTTCTAGTAGGTGGGAGGCCATCGCTAGTAGGTTGGAGAAGCTCAAACGGAGGAATCGGAGCGAGAACAGCAACTTCACGCAGTGAAGATTATTGGCCGGAAGCCTACAATTGTGCCATGTGAAGTATTCTGTTGGAACAACTTCTGGCTTGCATTTTTCTCATGAGGCTGGGGTGTGGACAGTGTGAAGAGCTTTCAGAAGGAGTATTGGATCATTGAGAACTCATTCGGAAAGGAGACCGTTCCGGCATCGTATGAAGTCGGGAAGGGTATCCCAATTGGCGCGTGGCTTCAAAATAGGGATGATCAAGAGTCGCATAACAGAAGCTATCACGATCGGAAGCTGACACTGAGAAGGACAAGTGGATGTCGTGCCTAAGTTAGACTTCCTAGGTACTAGAACGTATTTGGGGTACGTTTGCTGGAATTCGAGCTTGTGACAGGATTGGGGTGAGAGTGGTTATGCCAAGGCGCTCCTGGCAGAGCTGTTTGAATTGCTTCAACTTTGGTGTTAGCTCATTGCTTGAGCGACTGTTGACTGCAGACGTTGACTGTTTAGGGTTCCAGAGATCCAAGCATTCGCTATTAGGATGGAGGCCATCGCTATTAGGAACAAGGACGCTACGAACGGGGCTCCTGGCATCGCTACTAGGAGCAAGAAGCTTCTACGAACAAATGCCATCGCTATTAGGTTCCTTTGTTGTTACCCTTGCCAGATTGAGCTGAACGGAAAGATCCTTCTTCCAGAGTTTGGAACCAAGAGACGCAAAGTAGACGTCAAGAGTCAGTTGTTTGGTTGGTTGAAGTTGTTTTTCACAGCACACAGAGAGCTAGCGCTGGAAGATGCTTTGCTTGTATAAAAACAGGAGCGAAGCATAGAGAGAGAGAGAGGGAGAGTCAGAGCGAGAGAGAGAGAGAGAGAGGGAGAGAGAGGGAAGAAAAGGCCAAAGAAGCGGGAGAGACCAAGCAACGAACATAAAGTAGAATGCTTGCATACACATACATGCGGCACACGCACTAAAGAACTTTCTGCGCGAGCACCAACAAGCCTAGCTACATTGAGAGACCTGCCCCATCTTGGAGAACTTGCGCAGACCAAAAGCAACAGCTGCTGACATTGCCTTGTAAGAAAAGGCTAGCCCTCAATGATGCAGAGGCGAATGGAGAAAACTAGCTTCAAGCCAATCTTGTGGGATGGAGTCAAGTTTAAGAATAGAAACAATAAGCTACTAGTAACAAGTGCATCGCTACTAGTATCAAGCTACTCTTGTGCAAGCTAGTAGTAACAAGAGTCAAGTTTAAGCCTTTCATCGGCGGCCGATGATTAACCCCCTTTCCTCGATCGCAGGTGTCGCACAGAACCAAGGAGCGAAAGTGTGCGAACTGTGGGACACAATGTTTGAGATAATTTCTGACGTAGCAAGAAGCTACGTTCGTAGCGATGCCCTTGTTCCTAGTATGGCCAGGAGCCCCTAGTAGCGTCCGAACGCTCCTAGTAGCGATGCCCTTTGTTACTAATAGCTTCTTGTTACTACTAGTAAGGCACTTGTTACTACTAGCGATGCACTTGTTACTAGTAGCGAACTTCCATAGACAGAGGAGAACCATAGAGCTAAAGCGTGCGAAGTTCCTTGACCCCGTTGGGCCCGTGGATCCCGTGGGGTGTAGACCGGCCATTCTTGGGTGTCTCCATAGGCCAACATGGCTGGTCAGAAGACCAGGGCCTGGTGGATAAACGGCGCAAGATGACAAAGAAACATAGATGATATATGATGATATGTAGAAAGGTGCAAACACACATATGTACGTACGCGTACAGACAAACAGACAGACAGACAGACAGACATGCATGCCCATGTGCATAACTCATGACATCCGTTCTTGCATCCTTGCGGAGGCTTGCCTTCGCGGGCACTCCCATGAATTCGAAGGCCAATGGTTGTTACTTGTCACTTCCCACAAAAAAAGCCTGGCCACGTATTTCGTAGGTGGCCTTCTTCAACACAAGTGAGACAGATGGAAGAAACAAGCAGGCGTAAAAAGGTTCGAGCGGGGTGACTATGCGGAGTTTGTCGGTCTTCAGAGACGATCAAAACACTCATGAGTAACAAGACACTGCTAGTAGCAAGGTGCATCGCTACTAGCAGCTATTTTGCTACCAGGAACAAGTGCATCGCTTCTAGTAACAAGTGCCTTACTACTAGTAACAATAAGCTACTAGGAACAAGTGCATCGCCACTAGGTGCCTTTTTTGCTACTAGTGAACACTCACAACCCTAAAAGGGTGATCATGTGAGTGACGGCAGACAGCAACTGGGATTCAATAGCGTCCCAACGAGCAAAAACCTGCTGTTTGCAAAAGTATTCGTTTAGAACCTGGTGTATTAGTAGCCCTTCTTGTTACTAGAAGCGATGGCCTCCAACCTAATAGCGATGGCCTCCACCTAGTAGCTTCTAGCTACTAATGGTTTCTTGTTACTAGTAGCAATGCCAGGAGCGCCCCTAGTAGCGTCCTTGCTCCCAGGAATAGCGACGCCCTTTGTTACGTTCGTAGCTTGGTGTACGAAAAAATCAACTTTTTTCGGCTCAAGCGACTTGCGGAGAATGCTGTAACCGGAATCAAAAGCTGGCCTGAGTGCTTAGGGAACAGTTTCGAACTCCCCCCTGTGGGGGGGGGAAGGACAGAGATGAGCCAGGTCAGAGCCTAAATACAAATATGTTCAAACCGGACTATTAGCAACAAGATGCTTTCTGCAATTGTTGTTTCAAAGTTAGCACTGTTAGCACATTGCAATTCAAAGATCTCGGCCTGGAATTGAGCCATATGTTTTATTATCCATTTTCAGATGCCCTCTCCAGGCTAGAGGCAGAGGAGGCACTGCAGCCAAGCCTGAGTATGTCAAGGCTATTGGTTTGTTTTTGTGTTTTTTAATGTTGAAGTTGCATTGCGGATGGATGTGCATCACTTGACAGGCTTGTGTTCTTTTTGTCATCGCTGCGTGCTAGGAGCCACAGAATGGTGATGCTCCATCCCCTAGGCCACGGATGCCAGGGTGGGAACACTTGTGGCTTCACAATCGCAGTGCCATTCAAGGCTTCAACTGCCCGTTGCCACCGAAAAGCACATTCCACTACACGGGTGTTTCTGGTACAGGTTTCAATGGTAGCAAGAAGCTAGTAGAAACAAGTGCATCGCTACTAGTAACAATGGCCTTACTAGTAGTAACAAGAAGCTAGTAGAAACAAGTGCATCGCTACTAGTAACAAGTGCCTTACTAGTAGTAACAA